ATTTGAAGGTCCACACAGCAGAATCAATCTTATAGGTAAGGCAAGAAATTGTGAGCTTCCTAGTGTCTAAGGTAGGAGTCATCTTTGTTCTCGCAAACCTGGTTGCAGTTCTTTTCATTTATTAAGCACACCACAGTCAGCCAGATAAGATTAGAGACAATAGTGAAAGAGAAAGCATTTTTCTCTATTTCATTCTTTCATTTGACTCTATTTGTACTTTTGCCTCCATTTTCTTTCCCTTGCTTGCCCATCACATTAGGGGAGCTCACATTCTGTAAACCAGGGGTCCTCAAACTACGGCCCGCGGGCCACATGCAAATACAAATATTGTATTTGTTCCCGTTTTGTTTTTTTACTTCAAAATAAGATATGTGCAGTGTGCATAGGAATTTGTTCATAGTTTTTTTTTTAAACTATAGTCCGGCCCTCCAACGGTCTGAGGGACAGTGAACTGGCCCCCTGTTTAAAAAGTTTGGGACCCCTGCTGTAAACTATGCTTCCCTCACTGAAATGTAGCTACCTGCTATCTGTTTAACTATGAGAAAATTATTTAACCTCTCTGTGCCTTGATTTTCTCACTTGTAAAATGGCAATAGGCTATTGCCTACACCATAAAGTTGTTGTGAGGTTTAAATGCATTAAGATGTATCAAGCACTTAGCTTAGTACCTGGCTGTATAAAATGCTGAGTGACTAATTATCTAATAATTACTAATAGAATCTATTAATATAGTAATGATTGAGAGCCATATGTTTCATTGCCAAGTGTCAAAATGTTAAACAGGACAGAATTGTGGATTCTTTGGGAGTTTTGCTTTTTCTATGAAAATATACTTATAGAATATCTTAAAGATACAAAAGCACTGTTGGGTCAGTCCCCAGAAGACTTCTGAATAGTAAGAGAGAATGTCCTAAGAATCCTAGGAATCATATTGAATTTGTTACTTTTATTGGAAAAGGAGGCAACAATATACATATAGTGTTGAGCTGCTTGGTTCTTTTGTATATTAATTTCTCTCATAGTAGACATGGTGCTTTCTTTATCCAATTTGAATGTTCTAACTTATATGACCATCATTAAATCTTATTTATAAATTAATTTCTGGCATAATGAGTATATTTCCTTTTTGAGGTATCATGTTTTTAACCATTTAAAAGGCAACCTCACTCATTTTGAGAATACTGTATTCAAAATAATTTTGAGGGCCATTTTATTTTCTAGTATGTATTTTCAGCAGGTGGCTAATAGTTTTTGACCTGTAGCACCAGCATATAGACCTGAATGTCAGACAGAATATTTTTTTAATTGCATTTTCATCTTGCATAATGAAGCACAGTAATTCTTTTTGAGATTGCCTTGCATATTTTTCCAAGTAGTTATTGATAGAGATGTGTCAAATTGGTAGTAGAAAAGAAAATTATAATGTTATGCATTTAGGTCTTAATAATATTTAAATATATTCAGATCTGTAAATACAAGTATTTTAGCAAATAATGAATCTGATATATTTTCATGTTAAAAGCCATCTTAGGTGCATGATATTAACCTTCCATCTCTCCCATGTCTTTGGGCCATTGCTCTGAAAAATCACATATTTTAATCTATACACACTTTTTTTTCTTAAGAATTTCCATTTTCTCTTGAAATTTATACCATATATTCCATGGCCTATTTTCACACAACCTTTAAGAATTATACATATTCAATAATAATAATAATAATAATAATAATAATAGACAAACATGGTAATTGACCATACCTTCGCTACGCCTCCCATTGGCTAATCAGTGTGATATGCAAATTAACTGCCAACAAAGATGGCGGTTAATTTGCATACGTAGGCTCCAAACGGTGGAGTGAAGCCTGACGGCCCCGGGGCTGGCGGAGCAGCGAGGCCTGACGTTTCCGGGGCTGGCTCTGGCCAGAACTCAGCCAGAGCAAAGGCCTGGGCCCCGGGTGCCAGAGGCAAACCGGTGCCAGCAGCCAGGGGAAAGGAAGGCCTATTGCACGAATCTCTTCGTGCAACAGGCCTCTAGTTCAATAGTAATTCTCATTTTTTTGTGTGAAAATAGACCATGACATATACTCTATAAATGATAGAGGTTACTCAGGGCTCCAAGATTAGCAATTTTAGATCATTGTCAACATTTATTTCAAGTTAAGTATTAGCACAAGCTAATACAGTTTATACAACTGTAGTCTTTGCAATAATGTGTCACATAGTTTGTGTATTGAATAACACTTCAATTTAAGCGTAGCTGAATTTTTGAGATGAAGATGTGTATGCAGCTTGATCAAGCCCAAAGTACTCTGAAAATATGACAATGGAAAGAGTTATATTTTCTGTACTGAATATTTTAGAGCTGGCATTTTGCCACTGAACTGTATATGAGGGAGGAATATTGTATGTGCGCTTTGCATTTAAGGCTTAATTTCTGAGGCTGAATTTCAATTTTGTTTATTCCCTTAGGTAATTACTGGTTTTCTAGATGCAAAAGAAGTGTATCATTGGATTTTTAAAAAATGGTTAAACTTGTATTGTAGATATCCTTTCTTTAAATTTAGGCACTAAAAATTCTCACACATCAAAGGAGTGTGTGACTCTCATTTGTGGCTGAAGAGTTAATCATCTCTCAGCAATGCTTTGAAGTTAGTTTTTTTGTCATTTTTCTTTTCTTAACCCAGCATGGGTTCATGAATAAAACTAACCACTCTGATAAGTATAGTGTATTATTGCTTTTGCATATGGCTCTTGCTAATAAAAATTCAAATTCTGGTTAGTTTGCTGGAATCAAATCAATGTATTATATGGCATTCTCTCCCCCCACACACACACCCTGTTATGAAGCCCTCTTACAGAAAATAGGTGGGAAAAACAGCATGGGGTGGAGAGAAACGACAAGGCAATTCAGGGTTAAATATAGTTTACCCTTGATGCCTATGTTGTGGTTAGTCTGTAACCTGTACAAGGGTTTTTACTTCTCACTGCTCTACAATCCTTAGAATTCTTATTCCTTAGGACTAAATTCCTATTCTTTAGTCAAAGTGTATGAATCTGCTGTTTTGTGGGTACGGTAACAATAACAGCAGTGACAGTAACTTAATTTAACAAAGTATGTATGTATGTGTTTTTAAATGCAGCTCTATGAGAATCTATCAGTTGAAGAATAAGGTAGGGTGAAGAATACGTAGGTGCTTGCTAAAACGATTCTGATAGTTGCTAAAATGAAGTCATCCTGCTTAAAAATTACCTAGTCTAGCCCTAACCGGTTTGGCTCAGTGGATAGATAGTTGGCCTGCGGACTCGAGGGTCCCAGGTTCGATTCTGGTCAAGGGCATGTACCTTGGTTGCAGGCAAGTACCCAGTGGCGAGTGTGCAGAAGGCAACTGGATGTTTCTAACTCTCTATCCCTCTCCCTCTCTGTAAAACATCGATAAAATATGTTTCTTAAAAAAAGATTACCTAGTCTGTACATCAAATAGGATTTGGCATTTTAAAAATTAGGATGTTTTCCATTATCATCAACACAGAAAATAATTGTGCCTGGGTGCTTTGTTCCCAAGGTACCATGTGAATTTAGAAACCAGAGAACATGCCAGAATGAGACTGATGATTGTATAAGACATTCCATACTGGAACCAGATACTAGGCTCCGACTAGGCTCAGCTGGAAAGACTCTTAAAGTACAGCCAGGGGAATACAAATAAGGGGCTAATTTAGCAAATGTGCGTGTACATATCACATCGGGTAGGATCATGATCTCAAGAGTTAGAGATACCAGATTTTAACCGTTTGAAGGCTGGTCACTTTGGGCATATGGATTATTTTCTCTGAGTCTCGCATTTCTTAATTAGAAAATAGGCATCTAATCATATTATTATTATGAGAAATAATTACTAAATACGAAAAAAAATTACAGTGATCAAAAACTGCCAATTTCAGAGCCTTGGAAATCTATCACCATTTATATATTTTGCATATAATGGAATAGATCTGTGGCCGGCAAACCGCGGCTCGAGAGCCACATGCGGCTCTTTGGCCCCTTGAGTGTGGCTCTTCCACAAAATACCACGTGGGGGCGCTCATGTACAGTGCGATTGAAACTTCGTGGCCAGAAGTCGGTATTTTGTGGAAGAGCCGGTATTTTGTGGAAGAGCCACACTCAAGGGGCCAAAGAGCCGCATGTGGCTTGCGAGCCGCAGTTTGCCTAGTCGCAGTTTGCCGACCACTGGATAGATCATCAAACAGGCTCTTACTTGGCCTTAGATGCCTGCTCAAACCCAGAACACGAGGAAGTTCCTACTATTTTGGAGAGTTGGCAGTCAATGTGAAACATATTTGTTCTCCCTGAGGTAATGCAACTCTACCTGTCTTCTCTCTTTCTGTTTTGCTAACAGTCTCCATAATGCAAATATCTACCCAGTTGTTAAAGAGGGAATGCAGAGATTAGTTATCAATAATCATAGTGTTCAGGCACCATGCTGGGCGCATTACAGAGATTTGTGTTAAGTAGCTGACCCCAAAATTTATATGTCCAGTTTCATCATCTAACCGAGGCTCCATTCATAAATTTGTTGATCATTTGTTTCCCTAAACTTACTGCTCACTGTTCACTATCCTTCAGCCGCACTGGACTTCTTATATTCCTTGAGCATTCTAAGTTTATTTCTGTCTCCGACTTTTGTCCTTGCTGATCCTATGCCTGGAAGGCTCTGTCCTTTTATTTTATGCATCTTGCTTCTTTTCCTTATTCAAATGTCATTTCTTATTTTATTTATTTTTCTTTATTGATTAAGGTATTACATATGTGTCCTTACCCCCCCATTGCCCCCCCACTCATGCCCTCACCCCCCTGAGGTTTCTCTCTGACAACTGTATTGTCCTCCCATCCAGTCAGTTTCTTATCTCATCATCCTATGATATGTTTCTTCAGACCCTTTCCACATATGTCAAATTATGTTATTTATTTAATTGTTTACTTTTTTATCTCCCAACCCAGAATGCAAGCTCGCTGAGAGCAGTGGCCTTGTGTGGCTTGTTCAACGCTGTACTCCAAAGACCTGAAACTGTGCCTGGCTTACCAATCTTCAGAGGTATGATTATTTATTTCCATATTTTTATAGGTGACCAAAGTGAGGCCCAGAGAGGTGTAGTAGTGTGCCCAAGATCATGGGCATTGGAAGTGGCAGAGTTGAGATGTAGACCCAATGCCTGGGCTCTAAAAACCTGTGCAACAATGCAGTTGAAGGTCAGGGACATTGATAGGAGGGCGGGGGCTGTGTTGAGTGCTTGGAACTTCCGTTAAGTCCCTGGGCTGGCAATTATTGTTTCTCTAGAATTGTCAGACAAGAGCTGGTCCTGATTACTTCATACTCTAGTAAACTTGACTTGTCTCCCTTCCTTTTTCCTTTTGACTCAGTGCCCAAGACACCCATGGTTAATATTTTACAAGAATGCATTTGAACCCTCACTGCTTGGGAAAAACAAACACTGGGTTTTAAAGAAGCTCCCAGAGGCCTAGAATTCATGATTTTGAACCCAGATGAAATTTTCCACCTGACTTGGGTTCTTCTTTTTTATATATATGCTGTTTTCTGAGCATTTGTTATTTGACATCACCATTGATTATAGCTACAGCTTTCTTTTGTGAGTTTGTGTTAATAACACAGATGATGCCTTTGGTGGTACTTGGTCCCTATTGACTAGAATACTTCTACCTCCATACTTTCCCCATCCCATCCCCCACCCCCAATACTGCAGTGGGACCATTTTTGTTGTTTTTAGCCAGACATGCCACAGAATAAAACAGACAGTTTGTCATGTGTATCATAAAATGTATAAATATGTGTTAACTTTTGGAGGGAAATGAAAAGAAGAAAGCCAGGGCAGTTGATTAAAATGGGATAATCAACTGCATAATAAGTCACACCCAGCAGGTTATAGAGGGAGAAGTTATTGGCACTTTTTACTCCAGGACATTTGGTGTGCTTCATTGCATTTGACCTTTTAGAAGCTATTGACATCATTTGGGAACTGCCAGTAAACCTGCCTTAACCAGTTAAAGAGAAGGAATCATAGCATTGTGGAACTGACTTGATTAATTTAAATCCAAACACACACAGTCCTGCCTGGATGCCCTTTGCAATGCCCTTGCACAAAAGGATTTCATTCAGAAGCATTATAACCCACATCCTGCTGTCAGACCCTTTCAGCTCTGTTGGTCCTCAGACTGCCGGCAGCATCTTTAACCCTTTTTATGCTTCCTTTTATCGCATGAAAACAATATCTGTGCTTAGATTCACACAAATGCTCTACATTTCACTCCAAGTTCTTTCTTTGTGTCCTAGGGAAAAGGTATTTTAAAGTTCCACTAATTGAGAGACTAAAATGGGAACTTATCTAAAACTGGCTTCTTTAGAAAAGTATATTAGAACTTAATCCAGCGCTTCCTCTGGGAATTGTAATCAAAATTAGAATCATGAAATGTTGAAATAAGTTTTTGGCATTAGAGTAAGCTATCATCTATAATACCTTTGACTTTTAGATTAAAAACATTGAAGGTTTTATAATCCATGTTTAGTTTTGGGAAAACATCAAAGTTAATTGACTTGTGGGTGAGTTCCAAGTAGTATAAGGATACTCTAATCCTGGATTCTTAAATGAAAGCAAAATTAAAATTATTTAAGGGTAAAACTTTGAATAATTTCAGACTATTACAGTCTGAACTGAGTGAAGTACCCACACGTTGGTCACTCTGCTGGGCTTGGTTGCAGAAGAGGGCAAATATTTGTGTGGGAGAAATTTAGAAAATTGCTACTAGGTGCTTCACATCACATAGAAATGTTAAACTGGAAAGGACCAACACCCTCATTTTAAACAGCAGAAAAGTCTACGCCGCCCCACACACACATTTGATTATTCAAGTTCTTAAAGACCCTTACTTGGCCAACTTCTGCTTCTTCATTACCCAGTTACCACACTCTTCCAGAATACAGATGAAGCCTTTAGGGAAGGTGGTGTAAGCCCATTCTCTGGTTTCATTCATTATCATTAATTTTAATTACTGTTTTAAGGGCTTGTGATGCGCCAGTACTTCATTCATTATTTTTGTCTTCATAACTACAATGTTAGGTATTGTTCTTCTCTTTTCGAAAATTAGGAACTGGCATTTAGAAAAGTTAGGGATTTTCCTAGAGTATTAGTTATTCTGAGAAAGTGGGCAGGAGCTGAGGAGGCAACCTCTCTAGGATATCATTAGCTAAATACAGGGAAGAGAAAAGGGCAACAACAGGTATTCCTCCCAAGCCTTGTCCGTTGACTTGAAAATGTTATGGCAAATGAGTATGCCATGGGTCAATGGTAAGAGAGAGAGAATTAAGGCAATTTTGGCTTTAATTCTTCAGTGGATTAACTGTAAGGGAATATGAGGGCACCTCCTTTCTAGCTGCCATTAGCACTAGATGTCTAGGTGAGGAATGTATTGGGGAATCAGGGAACCTAAGTTCTTTCAAAGACAAAATGAAATAATATAATCTAAAATACTTTGTAAAATGAATATAATTAGGACATAACATTTTTGTTCATTTATTCAATAAGTATTTATCAAAGTGAATGCCAAATGTAAGGTGTGGTGCTATATGGAGAATAAGAAGGAAATATAGACTTTGTCTCTACTTCTCAGAAGGTTAAAATGAGTAGGAAGATAAGATGCATGATAATAAACAGGCAATAGAACGTTTTAAATGCAATTTGTAAGGTAGAGAACACTGGAATTTCCGAGGAAAAGTCCGTTCCTGATGGAAGAGATGGGTCTTAAAGAGTTGGTAGGGTTTAGATTGGTGGGGAGGAGAGACAGAAGGAATGTGATGGGAGTAATAGGTAGGTATGTGTGGGAATTACAGGAGTTAGAGCAAAGGCCTGGGGAAGGAAAATACAGAGACATACTCGTGTATCAAGTTGTCTCATTGGCTGTAGCTCAGGGTGCCCAGAGTGACAAAGATGTGAAATTTGCACTTGACTCAGTGACCACAGGGGGAGCCTTTGGGGATTTTGGAGTTTCGTGGTAACCTGGTAGGGCAATGGTTGTGAAGCTAATCAAGAACAAAGTGATACATAGAATGATTAAAGGAGCGAGGCACTGCAGTCAGGAGACCAGAGAGTCACGAGATGACTGGAGCAGATTAAGCTGGAGGGGACAGCCTGAGACTGGAACAAAGAGGTGACAGATCAGTGAAATTTGGCCACAGACTGGATTTAAGGGTGATGGAGAGTTAGAACTTTTTGCCATTGGAAGTTCTGTGATACCTTTTCATCAAATTAATATGCATTTGTTTTAATTAACAAATTTGAACCCAAATGCTAATCATAAAATCCCATATACCACTGGTTTTTTTCAGTACTTATATGCTTCACTGGAATTAGGAAACGTGTTGTATCAAGACCAGAGGAGCCAAGAATGTTGTCCATCTGGACTAGAAGTTCAACATAAATTATGAGGCAAAACTAGTTTAGGATGAAGGCTGTTTTGCCTTATCATCAGAAAGGTGATTTGGGAGAGGAAGCAGGCTGGCCACTGACTGGTCAAGACTTTAGAAATCCTGGCCAAATAACCCCTCAGAGGTATTACTTTAACCCCGTTTGCTTCTGAATTGGCACTTGCCAACATGACTTCACTTTAGTTTAAGAAACAAGTTAAGCTCAGGACCTTGGTGAACCCCAAGTTTCATTTTAAGGATTAAGGTAGCTGCATGGGAGTTGACGAGATTTATAATACCTTGAGAGTCAAGGGGTATTTCTTTGGGAAATGTGCTATGTCTTTTCTTTCCCTGTGAAAGAATATTTCCACCTTCTAGCTTTTGTTTTCTTTCAGTTTGAGAAATTATAATATTATTTAGATGTCATTGAAGCCTTGGGATCCACTGGGAAATAGGTAGATTTTCTGAAGTTGAGGACGCATACAAGGGGGTAGACAGTTATCCAGGGGAAATATGTCAGGGCTTGGTGGAGCTAGTGCTGTTACTGGGTAGATTCTGTGCCTGCTCCCAGCGCGGTGCTGTGAGTGGCCTAATGTGGGTATGCACTTCACAACGCCTCTCTGCTGTCCTCAGGAATCCAAGGAAAGGAGGTGGTGGCTTTTGTAAGAAGTGATCCACCTAAGAAAGAGTTTATGATCTCTGAGAAGGTGGTGAGGTTGCACTGATCAGAAAATTTAGTTGGAGTGTCAAGAGGAAATAGAACACTGACGAGAGCATGACACAGTGAGCTGTTTTTGTAGATGAAGAGGAGAATAAAAACGAAAGGAAGCCTAGAACTAGGAAATGGATATTGGGGAAATGAGGCCCTTGTTTTTTCTAAAGCAAGTCTGGCCACCTGGGGCCATTTGTCTCACTGACACTTGATTTCTACTCCTGCTGGGGGGTCTTTCCTATTCCCTTCAGCCTTTGTAGTGGTCAGAGACCTCTTGGTTTGGTCTTATTTTGTGGCAGGTTCTTCTTAAATCAGTACCTTTAAAAGAAAAGCTAACAAACCAGCTTTACTATTGGGCTATTTCTTTATGACCATCCATCTCTGAAAAAGTCGATACACCTGTCTCTTTTTGGTCTATGTTATATAGATAACCTTCGTTTGCTTTACCCATCTTAATTCTGTTTGACAGGTGGATCATCTCCCTAGTAAGTTGTCTGAGACCTTGAAATAGTCTGGCTAGTATGTTAGGATCTAGTCCTTATTCTTCTCTGAGAGCAGGTAAATCAGGATTACAAGTTCAGAACATATTGAAATGAATTTCCATTTTCCAAATTAAATAGTAATTCATATCCATGGTTAAAAAAAACTTAAAAGTTTACAAATATACAACATAAAAATTGGAGGACTCTCTCAATTTTTTATTGAAACTGCCCGAAGTAACTACCCCTAGCAATTGGGTGTGTGTCTTCTAGACATTTTTTTCAATACATATTTCAATAAACAAATATATTTATTTTAAAATTTGAGTCATATATAAGATGTATATGTGTCTGTGTGTGTATAGATTATTTTCACTTGTATCATGGCAAATTTTGCATATGTATCATTTTCACTTATATATGATAAA